ATATACATAAATATGTATTTATGTATTTATGTGTCTATCTGTATGTGTATATACACACGAACACGCTATTTAGAAATTCATATGCGTCTGATTGTTAAGATAATTGCGCTGCGTAAGGGGACCCTTGAAATGTGCACACCTCAACAGTCGGCAAACGAGGCATGTACACAAGCACAAGTATGTGCGCATACACGTCACATATGATTGCACACACACACACACACACACATAGTCAAAGGACACCTTATATCCTTCCTACAATAAGAGAGGCTAAAACACCTGGAGCAGTACTTCAATGGACACTATGTCTTCCTACAACAGAGGCTAAAACACACGCCGACGTGGAAGCAGGAACTCCTAAACCAATCCTACAGTTGACAACATCTGTCGTACAACCCTATTCAACCGTGGTATGTTCACCTGAACCCAGCATAACGACAGAGCCCGGAATCACAACCAAGACAAGAACATCCGAGCCGAGCACTGCAACCAAAGCCACAATCACAGCTACCGATGCGAATGTTCCCACTCATACAATACACACGCCCGTACACGCAGCACACACACAGTGTATTTGGGAGGCCACTACTAACATGATCTGAAGTGTTGGGTGGATTCTTACCAATGCTAAGTGCAAATGTACCTCGTGTTGTTGTGGGCACGTTGTGAAGGTGGATCAGAATGGCTAGGAGAAGACAGACCGCGGAAACCCCGGCAATCACCGTCATTGCGAGGGTATTCAGGCAGCCACGTGTCTGGGGCAATACAAGTGAGCAGTCACCGTCATTGCGAAGGTATTCAGGCAGCCACGTGTCTGGGGCAATACAAGTGAGCAGTCACTGTCATTGCGAGGGTATTCAGGCAGCCACGTGTCTGGGGCAATACAAGTCAGCAGTCACTGTCATTGCGAAGATATTCAGGCAGCCAAGTGTCTGGGGTGATACAAGTCAGCAGTCACTGTCATTGCGAGGATATTCAGGCAGCCACGGGTCTGGGGTGATACAAGTCAGGTGTGGAATGATGCCAGAGTTCGCGCAAGTATCTTGGATATGCTCGCATAGAATGTTCTTCATCGTTGTGTTGCGCTGGGAAGGCGAGGTGGCTCAACAATAGTACTGCCAACGGCTACAACGACAATGGTCACCGCTGTCGTTGTGCATAGAGTGTTCCGTCATCGAATGTGAACCGAATAAAATGGCATAAACTTAAGTTTATGTAGTCTGGATCTTGCAGTCCGTAGGCGTTGAATCGACGTTTGCCTCAGGGAAATGAGCACAGAACGGATTGTATTGGCGCGAGGAAAACAACCCGGTTGAGGGGGAGCCAGTGCACTATGCGGTTGTGTAATTTACGTTTTTGAACAAATGTGCACACGTTGCACCTGCGGACCAAGCCACCGGAACGCATCGCTGAATACGTATCATTTATAAATACGAAGACAATAAGGCGCCATAATGAAGCTTACTTCAATATACTTCAACCGGCACCTGCCACACACACACACATTGCATCAACAGAAATCGGGTTAAATCCATTTACTCCCCCGCCCGATTGTGCACGCAATGGTTGGATTTGTACTTTTGTGCGACAGCACTTGTGGTCGACCATGACAAGTACCCCGTTTGAGATGATAAACATTAAGTAGGCTACTATTCAATACAGGACAGACTGCCTCCCCCTATCGCTGAGTTCTATTCTTCGGAGCCTTATTCGTCGAATTGTAGATTAAAACCGGGTGATGGTATACTCATTGATGGCCCACTCATAACTTAAAACTTTAATATCGAGATACATAGACGGCAACAATATCCAATACGCATCGCGATTATATGGATTCGTAATAGGGTGTAGGTACGGGGCTGGCAGACCTATTAAATAAATCAGCTCGTAGCAGTTGGGTCTTTGCCAAAATTGCATCAAACCCTACATATGGATTTTTTTGTATGTTTCACTTATTCACTTTAATCGATATGTTATCTTATCAGCGCATTCCAAACATGGCCGTGTAGTCCGCCAGGGACAGGCCACAAGCATTGCCATTCATATCCACTCCTCCTAGTACTACGTCCCCATATATCCCTGCGTGATGGAGTGGAATTGATTATATATATATATATATATATATAGATAGATATATATATAGTATATATAGATATAGAGTAGTAGTAGAGTATATAGTATATATATACACACACACACACACACAC